GATGAGGGGCTATCCATCAGGTCAACCCCCCCCCCACCCAAAAAAGCCCCCCACCCAAACCACTACAATTTTAGGATGCACCTAGTAGCATGACAATTATTAGGAATAAAGACTTCTGAATTCCGGTGCATTTCTGCATGCGGGGGTCATTATGTTACTGCTGTGCATTATCTAGTTTACATTAGATGCGGTTCCAGTCTGATCCTGTCTGAACTCTGCAGCACATACGCAACCATTATAATCAGTGAGAATATTTACACTGGCTCCGCACAGCGGCGGTGAGCGGACGGTGATCAGCCAAAATTAGATTCGATCCTATTTTTGCCAGACGCTGGAGTCAATCTACAAAGATCATGTCGCACCAACAGGAAAAGGAACAAGCACAACATCCGTATTTTCAAAATAATTCCAAAGGCAGACCAATTTTGTTGAAATCCCAACTATACTGATAAATGTATATAGGTATCTAACACATTGTGTTAGATAATCATATGACATTGCATTATATCGATCGCAGACTTGTGAATTGAACCCAAATTGTATTGTGACTAGGGGTGTAAATCACCAGTTTTATCATGATACGATATTACATCGATATGTTTGGATGACTATTCGATATTTCTCTATCACAAAGTGTGTCACGATACGATTTTGATTCAATTCAGTTCACGTCTGCGATCGATATAATGCGATAYCATATGCCCATCTAACACGACTGTGTTAGATGGGCRTAYGATATCGATTCACATCAAACATATCATGACGATATAGATCGATATTTTCATTTTGCCTCTATAACTGAATCATGAACCATTCAAATCGATATATCAATATAGATAGATGTTTTGTTACACCCCGAATTGTGACAGAGTTTGATATTGAGGAATATCAAATCATCATCCAAACAAATGGATATAATATAAGTATAGTGATAAAGCTGGTGATTTACATCCCTACTATCAAACTAGCAGTCACCAGGCTCATTAACAAGACATGTTTAACGTCAGTCCAGCTGAATTCTGCTCCACACTGCTTTTATTTCCACGATGCTTGCTTAATTTCTGAAAGCTCACATCTGTGGGGGGACGTGACCGGCTTCATCTGTGGTTTATGAATGGCCAGAGGGAGCATGTTGACAGACTGGTCTGTGCAGTCACTTCATGTAAACAATTTATTAAAGAGCCTACTGTGAGCCAGGCAGGGGACACCCTGGACAGGTCTCCAGTCCATCGCAGGGACACGTGGAGACAGACGAGACAAACAACCACTCAAATTCTCACTTGGTGAAATGGTGAAAAATAGGTATCTTGAATGAAACAGAAGAATAACGGGAGAATAGCAGCGAAGGTGCTTTAGTGCTGTGTGGTGGTCCCCTTAACATCCATGAAGAAGAGCTGGAGTCAGAGGTGCCTCAGTAGGTCTGCTTTCTTTGTACAAACTTCTAGTTTTGTTAGACCAGACTATTTGATTTACTGATTTGTCTACGTTCCTCTCCTCACCTGAGGTCACGAGGTTTGGATCAAGACTGAAACAAGATCCAGGGTACAAGCAGCTGAAATGAATATTCAAGTGGTTTATGTGATTTGATGCCTCCTGGATGCTTCCCTTTAGAGCGGTTTCAGTTATGTCCCACTCAGAAAAGGGCCCCAGGGCAGACCTAAAACATGCTGTGCTGAAGGAATCTGTCCTCTCTGGCCTGAGAACACCTTGGGGGTTCCCCCTGGTGGAGCTTGAGAGGGTTTCTCTCCTGGAGTTTAAACCTCATTGACCAGACTACAGATAAGAGGTAGAAGATGGAGATGAAATAATATAGAAATTTATCAGACACGTTTCTTTTTAATTTTCAGTGACTTTGTTTAAACTTTTAAACTGTCAACTGTGGTGTTTAATTGCAGAAKCTAATTGCTTTATGAGTTTATCAATTGCACTACTGCTATCTGTTATTACTGCAGCTTTACCTTTGTATAACAGTAAAAATTCTTATACCTTGTACAGCTAGCCTCTTTTCTTTTCCCTCATTAGAGTTTGAGAGGTTTGAGAAAGAGAACATAAAGATGTCATCGGGTGCCCTTTTTCCAAGCTTGGTCAGCGGCTCACGGGGAAGCTCCAGCAAGTACCTTGTGGAGTTTCGTGCCGGCAAAATGACCTTAAAGGGCAACACTGTTACACCTGACAAACGCAAAGGCACAGTGTACATCCAACAGTCGGATGATTCCCTGATTCATTTCTGCTGGAAGGACAGGACCACAGGGAATGTTGATGATGTGAGTACAGCACACACATCAAATAATACACAACATGATGATTAAAGAGGCAGCTCACCCCTCCAACATGCAAATATGAGAATAGTCTTAGTTAAAATGTGAAGTGTTATCAAATGTGCTTTGACACTAATGGAAATCAAATTGAACTAAAATGTAATTCYTCTTCCAGGACTTGATCATCTTCCCTGATGACTGCGAATTCAAGAGGGTGAGCCAGTGCACAACCGGACGTGTCTATGTGTTGAAATTCAAGGCTGGATCTAAAAGGCTGTTCTTCTGGATGCAGGTCAGTAGATGCTGCTTGTAGACAAGTGAAATGAAGGTTACAAAAATACAATTGTGCTCATTTAAATAGTATTTTATTGTTGAGTGAAGAATCCCAGTGGACCTGCAGAAACTGGCATTCAGCCAGWATTTAAACTTATTCCCACATGGCTGTGATTCAGATACAGCTTAGATTTTAGAGGTGGTATTTAAATGAGTGGTGTTGTGTAAAATTGTTTACTGTATGAACAAAGTTCATAATATCTTTCCATGATGAAGAAAGTCCTGTGCCTAATTTGTAAAAGGAGCCAAAAACAGACAAGGATGAAGAGTTCTGCCGTAAGGTGAACGAGTATCTGAACAACCCTCCGATTCCTGGAGCAGCCGGCAGCGGAGGTGGCAGCGGCCACGAACTGTCTGCGCTCGGAGGAGAGGGGGGGCTTCAGAACCTGTTGGGGAACATGAGCCACAACCAGCTGATGCAGCTGATTGGACCAACAGGACTGGGTGGATTGGGTCTGGGAGCTTTAGCTGGACCAGGACTTGCCAACCTGTTGGGCAGTGGAGGACCACCCACCAGCAGCTCGTCATCCAGGTGAGAACTGTGCTTATCGGGGTCTGCAGAAACCCTGTTTAAAAAGCTCAGAGTTAATTCCTGTGTTTGTATCTGTGTCTGCTCCTCTCAGCTCCCGCAGCCAAGCAGCCCCAGCAGCCACCCCCTCATCAGGAGGAACCCCCAGACTGAGCTCTTCTCAGACCCCCGCTAACCCTGCACCTCCTGCCACTTCAGCTCCAACATCTACTAGTGTGACTACCTCCGCTCCAGGTACACTGCTGAGTCATGTTCTGGTCTCTGTCAGCAGATTTTAGGTTTAGATGAGAATGAGACAGAGGGGAGATGTTCTGTAGCTTTACTCTGACATGGATAATAAAAAACTCGTTTTGTGAAACATCAGTGGATGTTTGTGCTGTTGTTTGTCACTTGTTTTCTCAGATCACCTGAACATCTTTACTTCTAATGATGCTTGTTGTATTTTCAGCAGCAGCAGCAGCAGCAGCTCAGACCCCAGTGACACCAGCCTCTGTTGGAAGCCCTCCGCCCCATCAGCCCATCCAGCTCAGTGACCTTCAGAGCATCCTGGCCAACATGAACGTTCCAGCAGCAGCTGCTGCTCAGGGACCAGGAGGTTAGTCACTCATTACTCATGGCTGGTTGTGAGTCGTTCTGTTCGCTGTGGACATTTTTACAGCAGGAAATTGGAGTTCTGAGGAAATGGCAAAAATAGCGTAGGACAAAAAAAATTCAGATTTATAAAACCGTGCGTACGCATGTTTCTGCGCATCTTTCCTTTTTTAGATCACAGCTTCACCTCAGAGTTTGAGCACAAGCTCCTGCCTCAGGTTCTACCCTCTCCGCGCCTACACTCAACCAGTGTTGTTTTCGTTTACGATGACGAAATATTTTCATTGACGCCCCCTTTTTTCATGACAATAACGAAACAGTAACGAAATAAACATGAATCTTTGATGACTAAAACGTGACGAAACGTGTGTGAGTTTTCGTTGACAAGACTGGACGAAAATGTTAGTCGGTGGTCTGTCAATCATTTAGAATGCAGAGTGGAGGGAGGGACAGCAGCACTGTTGCACACATGCGCACACACAGCAGCACAGAACTGTTCCTCCTCTCATTCAGTAAATAAGGAAGACAAACAGCCTGTGCTGCTTTGCAAAAAATAAATAAACAAATAAAAAAAAAAGTCCGTCTGTCACCTGTAGCTTATCCAGGGAGTAACGACTCCACCATTAAAAGCTGCCGCAGGTCCATTCTGAGCTCAGAAGCTGTTTGTTTAYGTTCATGATGAAAGTAAAACTCTTCTGTGGGGCTAAAAARGTTCAGGCTCAAGATTTTTTTCCGCTATCACCCCTGTGTTAAAAAAGTTGATGATAAAGTTGAACAAAAATCTAAGTCTGAAATTAAATCTCTGACAGTGATCATTACACAGTGTGGCTCTAATTCCTCACTTCACCATCTGTGCCGCAGTTTCCTGTCTCCAAAATGAGCGTGCGCATGGGTCAGAGCTGGCGTGAGGCACCGCACATTTTCACATCAAGTTTGWGTTTTATAAATCACAACCTTAGTGTAAGAAGTGGCGTATGCAAGTTTCTGGGCTCATTTTGTGTGACGCAAGCTTTATAAATCCAACCCCAGAACTCCAGGGAAGGAGGATTTACCTCATGTGCCCATCAGATGCACCCATAAGTAGCAAACCTTTACTCTTCTTTTAGTATAAACTCTTCCTGAAGATGTGACCTTTCAGCTCTGAATTAGCAGCTTAGCTGTTTACCTGAAAACTTTTATATCTTACCAAAGACAGATTTTAATTGTACTTTTTAAAAAGTAATAATTGTTTGTACATTTATACCTGAATAACTTTTGGAGTTAATCCAGTTCATTATGAGCACCATGGCTAAGTGGCATTAGCCAACACTAAAATTACTGTAACTCGGTTTTATAAATCTGTTGAGATAAAGACTGAGCTGGTAGTAGCTGAGAGTGATAACTAACCCATACTGTTAGGTGTAATGTTGACATACAGTTATTTTCACGGTTTGGTCAGCTCCGTCATTTCTCATCATGCGATGATTTTTTACAGTCCTGCAGACATAAACCTGTCTGAGCACAGTCATAATTGTTTAACTACACATTGTTATTTTCCGACTCGTGGTAACTTTATTCCAGCTGTTTAACCAGTCAGGTTTTCTCTCATACATGTGCCCAACAACCCAACAAGGAGTTATTTACATCACATGTTGGTTTCAGCACCAAATAAAGACTGAGTTTGGCTAAAGGGAAAGTATACATGAGTCCAGCTGACAGCTTCCTCTCATCTCCTGCAGTGGACCTGGCCAGTGTTTGCACCCCAGAAATGATGGCTCCCATCCTCAGTAACCCTGAGGTCCAGCAGAGACTCCTGGAGTTCCTCCCCAGTGGAGAAAGTTTACCACAGAGTGCTGACGAGATCCAGAACACGCTCAGCTCGCCTCAGTTCCAGCAGGTGGGACAAGATCATCACATCTACTCATTGGGCTCGTTGAGTCACTTTGAGGCTTTTACTGGTTGATTTATATTTATTTATAGAAGGGCTTCTAAGTTGGAAAGACACAATAACTTCCTGTTAGTGATCATGACTGACTGCAGCTGTTAGTTTGTTTTTTAGCTGGCAGGAACAAGCTGCTGACAGAAGGAACAGAACATTAACCAGCCAGTCGTGTAACTTTTATTTTTCATTTTTTAATAAAAAAAAGGCTGTTTTAGTTTCAACTGGTGACTAAAGAAGTTATCATCTCCATCCATTTCACAGCAGGAATCTACCACTATAGTTCAGCTCTTCTTCTGATCTTTATATTTGTTTCTGACTGAGGGAAGATCAGGAGCATCTCTGCCTCCAACAACTCAGTTGTGCAAATCAAATGCAGGGAATCCGCGGGGTTGTAAAAAGTATTAAAAGGTAGTAAATCAAATAAACAAAAATTAAAACCATTAAAAAGTATTAAAAGGTAATAAACGCCATCTGACGAGGTATTAATTTTTGAACAACCAGCACATTTTCACCATGCTGGAATCAGATGCGCTGCTTTGAAAACAGATTTAACAAACATTTCTCTGGCCCAATCTGAGATGCAGCTTTAACTTTAGACAGTCCTATTAGCCAATCAGAAACAGTGTGGGGGTGGGACTTAAGTGTCTCTAGTAGTAGAAGTTGGAGTGGTGTTTTAAATAAAACATATTTGTTAGGACACGTCTGAAAAAGAACAGGAGACGATATCAAAGCTGGATGATTGTTTAAAGTAAGAAAAGATAAACCAGCAGAAGGATTACTGACTCCACCACCTGAGAGGAGCCGTGTGTCGGTGGATGCTAGCTTTAGCTAAAGTTAGCTGGACAGGAGCAGAACGGAGAGGAGAGAGGAGCAGACAGGTGCAGCAGGTGAGGAGATTAAAGTGATGACTTTTATAAGAATGACCCGGGAGATAACATAATCAACAGGTGTGTGTTTACTGGAACAAACAGACACATTAACACTAAAACAGCTATATTTGTTTGAACAAAACAAAAGTAAATTAAAGCTGTGTCTCAGATTTTTTTCATTGTTTCCCCCCAAAACTCTCAGGGAGGGCATTCTCTATGAAGATGTCAGTTTTATGTGTTTGTAGATAAATATGAGCTAATTTAAATCCTACACTGTACTAAAGGGTTTTGGGAATTTGAGCTAAATTGTTTATTTGGGATCAGACTTTATGTAAATTTAATGCAGGATCACATGAAACATAATTTACAGTTCTCACGGAGATTCTGTTGATTTGGTTTGTTTAGTAAGGTTTTATTATTTTCAATCATAGTTTTTTTTTAATTTATTTATCAGGAGAATACACAGTTTACATTACTTACATTTCTCAAAACTTACATAACTTCTCCAAGTTTTTTTAAACAAAGAATATGATTCACAACACACATAAAAATAGAAAAAAATTACATATATGCATACACATGTATAAGAAAAAGAGAAAAGATACAAAAATAAATAAATAAAATAAAATTAAGCGGGGGGGGGGGGKGCTAGTTAAGTTTTATCTATATATATTTTTAACTTAGTCATATGGTGGGTTACTTACACCATCAATSAGGGCAGAGATTTTAGGTAYTCCAAAAAGGGTGTCCACTTACATGCAAATTTCTCTGACCTTTTTCTATCCTTAAAAATGTTCTTATTGTATTAAACCATTGTGATATAGATGGAGGTGAAGGAGATTTCCAGTGGAGTAAAATACAACGTCTAGCGAGGAGAGAACAGAAAGCCATAACATCCTTTTGCTGATGGGACAGATTAAGGGTAGTCACTGGAACTCCGAAAATGGCAATTAATGGATCACTTTCAATCTGGGTCTTAAAAACGCGTGAGAGAACKGAAAAGAATTCACTCCAAAATGTGTATAAACTTGGGCAAAAGAAAAACATATGACTTAGATTGCAAGGTGAAGTCTGACATCTRTCACATTGATCTGAAATTGAAGGAAAGATTTTAGATAAGCGAGATTTTGAAAAATGAACTCTGTATATAACTTTAAATTGTATAAGTTGCAGTCTAGCACAAGGTGTGCTTAAAYGTGTGCTGAGAATAACTTTTCCCCACCATGACTCAGACAATTTAACATTCAATTCATGTTCCCAAGCCATTCTGGCTTTACCAGATGAGTCAGACTCCATGAACATAAGCTTTCCATGTATATTAGAAAAAGGTGATTTCTGATTAGGCCTAAGAACAAGAAGGTCAACCCATGGCGRGTCAGCAGGAAAAGTTGGAAAATTTGGAAACAGCGATGAAATACAATGTCTGATTTGAAAATAGAAAAACAAATGAGAGGTAGGCAGATTAAAMTGCGAGGACAATTCTGAAAAACTAAGAAATAAACCATCTTTGTAAAGGTCTCTCATAGTTTTAATGCCTCTCTCCTGCCAAATTCTACAGGCAGCRTTTGTAGCAGCAGGAGGGAATAGATGAGTTTTTAAAGGCATTTGAATAGAAGGAGAAACAAATTTAAAATGGGACCTAAATTGTGACCAAATCTTGAGTGAAGAAAGCACTATGGGATTCGAAGTAACAGAAGATAATTTAATAGGAAGTGATGCATAAATAACGGAGGCAGGTRAAAAAGATGCAGATATTGATCGAATTTCAAGTTTACACCAGGTCATATTAGGTGAATTTAGCCAATAAATCAATTTATAAATATGTGAAGACCAGTAATACATCAGGAAATTGGGTAGGGAGAGACCACCATTAGTAATGAACTGCTGCAAAAGAGAAAATCTCAGTCTGGGGGCCCTGCCACGCCACAAAAAAGAAGAAACCATTTGGTCCAAGGACCTAAAAAACTTTTTAGGCAGAAATAAAGGAATACATTGAAACARAAAGAGAAATCTAGGCAGCACATTCATTTTAATAACATTAATCCTGCCAATCAATGAAAGAGGGAGAGAGTTCCACCTCTGYAGATCTGATGAAATTTGTGAGACCASGGGGGCAARGTTTTTAGAAAACATTAAAGGCAAAGTACGTGTAATATTGACCCCCAAATACTTAAACCCTGAGGGGCTGAGCTTAAAAGGAATGTCAGACTGCCTGAGTCCTRGAGCTAAAGAATTTACTGGATAGCATTCGCTTTTGAGTAGATTAATTTTATAGCCAGAGAGGGATCCAAATTTTTTCAGAATCTTCAAAATTGGAGGAAGACTAAAWAAGGGGTTTGAAACATACAAAAGAAGATCGTCTGCGTACAAAGATAGTTTAAGCTCAATGCCAGAACGGATAATTCCCTGAAAAGAAGAGAGGGATCGTAAGGCAATAGACAGAGGTTCTATGGCTAACGCAAACAGGAGGGGAGAAAGAGGACACCCCTGTCTAGTACCACGACYCAATGGAAAATAATCAGATTGGACAGTATTAGTAAGGACACAAGCTTGAGGAGCTGTATAAAGTAGTTTAATCCAGGACACAAACCTTTCTCCAAAACCAAAACATTTGAGAACGGCAAACAGTCATCAATCATAGTTTTTAATTGAAAGTATTTTAGCTACAAGAAAATTTATAAATTGGGATTGTTTTTGGCAGTTTTGATAAATTTAAAAGGCGATATTTGAAAGCTATTGCAGTTAACACTCTGCTCAATATGAAAAAAAAAATTAAAAACAGATTTTTTAAAAAAAGTTGATAGATGAATCCTTTACAGTCGTTCTTTAGCTGGTATTGTCAATGTACTGTATATGGTTTAAACCAGTGATTCTCTCAGTTTTAGTTGTTTCCCTGCTCGTCCGTAAGTGGTGAGGTTCTRTAGAGGCCTGTCAATCACTTGTTCATTTAAATCAGGTGTGCCAAAGCAGGGAACCCACTAAAACATTCAGGATAGTGGTCTGAGGAGCAGGATTTAGAACCACTGCTTTAAAGGCAGTGCTCCAGATTCTAATAAAATGAATTGAAACAAAGTAATGAAATCACTAATTGATGTAAACAAAYAAAACTATTTTGGGATGTGTAATTAACCCTAAAGCTACAAATTTTAACAAGAGAGTGAGAGGTAATGGTCCTGTCTGTCTGTCTGTCTGTGTCCGTCTTCAGTCCATGAGCATGTTCAGCAGTGCCCTGGCCTCCGGGCAGCTCGGCCCACTGATGAGCCAGTTCGGTCTGTCTAATGAAGCTGTGGATGCTGCCAACAGGGGAGGTAAACACACRCACACACACACACATCACTGTGTTTCAACATTACAACCACTGTCAAATAAAAAAAACACAACTAAATGTAGGAATAGTTTCAGTTTTACTTTTTGATTTTGTGAACTAGTGCTGGGAGCTATGTCTAAAATTATATATCACATTATTTTTGACAGTTATCTGTAGGGCTGTAGTGATACACTAATCTCACAATACGATACGACATTTGTTATTCTGCTAATGATACGATATATATATCACAACATTCAGCGAACGATACGATTCGATACGATTCAATTTTCTGAACAATTTTAGAGGGACAGAATGATTTTGGTGACATTTTGTTCCATAGACTTGGATTGAATTAACTGAACTGAAAACTGATTAAAAGCACCAACTACACAATACCTGCTCTAATTGGACAGAGTCTTTGTCTACAGCTGGACAAAATTAATCAAAGATGCGGTGAGAAAATTAGTTTTCTTTAATTGAAACAGTGCAAACTGTAGCTTACAAGCCTAAATAATATTTGGTTCTATCCAGGTACCTTTGGCAAATAAAGAGCAAAGCTTCAGGATTTGTTGTTTATGATGATAGTAATTAACACAGTTAAAGACTTGGAGGTAAATTATTTTTGTTCCCATGTAACAGAGGAGGAACAGATTATTTTAAACAACTGAAATATTTGGTTCTTGTATCAGCAATAAAAAAATTATAAATCCACACGATGTGTTGGAAGACAGTGTTTGGTGGCGCTAGATGCATGCCTGCCTGCCTTCCGTAACGTGACAGCTGACTACAGTCGGAAAAAGAGCGCCCCGGACGAGACGCTTCGATTTGGCTTAAAATACAGACATTCTGACTAAAAGGGACTCTTCGTAAACTTACGTCAGCTTAGAAGGCAGAGAGTGTCGATCTTTTCTGCTCAGATTCAGCTATCGGTGCATGATGCTAATGCTACCGTTACACTSTGGCTCCTTAGGAGTAGAGGAGCCAAATGTCTGGCTCACTGCTGCCACCTAGCGGCCAGAGGCTGAACTACAACATAAAAATGAACGATTGGCAGGAAAGTTGACATTTTAAACCTTAATTAAAAATCGATACAGGGCTTTAGAAAATCAATACAGTATTGGGAAATGAAATATCGATATATATCGGTGTATCAATATTTTCATACACCCCTAGTTATCTGTATTATTTGATGGTATTTCTACTTCCATCACAGCTCAGCTGATGTTAAAATGAAAAAAAAAAAAAACACTGCAAGATTTGGCCAGCTGAAATCACAGGAGGGTTGAGCAATGATCCTTATCAGACAAATTTACTTCACACATGAAGTCTATGTTTGCACATCACTGAAAAGGTGGATTCTACATTCAGCCTAGAGCTGCACAATATATCACAAATTTATCATCATCATAACAGATTGTGCAATAGGCATATCACAAAAAAACTGGTAAACTATAGTGAATGGTTGGCTCAAATTTTATGAGATGCCACATCAAACCATAACCACTTGAGTGGAGAAAATGTTGGACCAATGCAATGAGAATATTTGCAGTTTGATTTAGGTTTAACATTTATTTAAAATGCTTCAGAAATCAGAAAATGTTTAATGAGGAGATGTTTTAAAGTCATTAGGAACTGTATGACATGCAGTTTGTCTCTTCACTGCTAATACAGCATCAGTGTCAAGTTGTCATGTTGGAGTGGAAATGATGTTTTAGTTGTTTTTTCATCTAAATCTAGAAAATGAAAGACATCACTGTATAGTATTTGTTTATTTATTACAAGTCATATCGTCATCACAATATAAAGCAAGCACATCGCAGGTTTTCCTGATATGGTGCAGCATTAATTCAGCCCTGGGGAAAATAGGAGTGGTCTTATTTTTTTCTCAAGTGATGTCAGTGATGAAATCACTGCCAGTCACTGAGAAGGTGAAGTAGCCAGGTTCATGAACCCAATGAACCTGGCTACTTCAGAAGCTGCTCCCACATTATTCTAGCTCCCCCTGTGTGTCGCAACTTCCTGTGTGTGCGTTCAGCCGTGCTGCATGGAATCGGTTTACTGACAGTCGTGACGTAATGTTGTGAATGTGTTCAGGTTATTTAAACCGGTATGCTGGTATTCAAAAATTCAGATCAGAACAAAAATAAAAACAGTTTTTTGGTCTGAACCGGTATACTGCTCTAATGTGATGAAATCCTAAGTTAGTGTTGGATATTCCATCATTTTTACTTTTTTAAAATGTGTCGTCCTCAGTGGTGGTTCATGTAGTCATAAAAAAACTGAAGGACTGAAGCCATTTAGCTTTAAGTATGTTGTGACTGTTCTTTTAAAGCTGGTTATTTTTGTTCAGCTGTAAATACGCTGCTTCCTCAGAACAACCAGAAMCTAAAAACTGAGTGGAAAAGACTGTTTCAAACAATATCCTCAAGGCTTTTATTTTAATTTGTAAAACAAAAACGTCAACTCTTGTAGCACTAAACGATGTTTACCTGCTGTGTGTTCAGACATTACTGATTTAATCTTTAACAACACTTTGTTACAGACTTCAGTAAAAACACACCCACAAGACAGTTTCTTCTTAAAACTATCCATCTAAAAAGAAAAGGTTTAAAAAAAGTGAAAGTTGAATTTTAGATGTACCTGCAGGATTCAAATGTAATTCACTTTGCTGCAGCTTCTCATGTTTTTTCTCTTGGCTCTTTAGGGCTCAGACTTTATTAAAGGCACAGTGTGTAGGATTTGTTGTTTTCAGCGACATCTAGTGGTTTAGTGGTTGAATCATCCTCCCTGGTCCTCCCCCCACCCCCACCCCCCACTTCCAAACTCTACGGTGTCTCTCAGGTGTCAAAAACCTTTGATAATTCCAACCGTGATGTCTACCAGCAGCTTCAGGGCTAGTGATGTTTCAAGTGGTAAGATTATGAGCTTTAATAAGTAAAATTATATCAGCTATGTTTACAAGCACAAAATGTTTTAATCAGATTGAAATATATTCAGATTAAATAATCCGAATGTACTGTTTACAGGGACACAATCCGATCATGAAAAGTGTTTACATGCACCGGAGTTTTATTCAGAATAAAAGTCCGGACATGCGCAGTGTTGTAAACATTCAGCTCTACTTCTGTTACAAACGTAAACAAAGCTCCTCTGTGCGCTCAGGACGGACCCGTGTCAGCTTTTAATAACGGTAGAGACGTCGTTACTCCTCGGTTGAGCTGCAGCCTGCAGATGAAGCAATACGTGCTTTTTATTTTTAGCGAAGCAACGTTGGCTGTTTGCCTCCTTTTTCATCTGTTAAGAGAGCGAGGAGGAAAAGTTCTGCACGATGCTGCGCAGCTGGAGCGCTGCTGTCCCACCGGGTGAAGTCAGCAGACATGCGCACACAGGTCAGTTTTCTACAATCAGAATAAGATGATCCGATTAAGTGTTTACATAAACCTCATGCCAATTATCAATCGGCATAACCCACCCTTTTCATTTGGATTAAAAATTCATTCGGATCGAGCTTAATCGGATCAAAATAATCGGAACGAGCTGTTTACATGATGCATTTTTATTCTGAACGGCTGTTTAATCTGATTACTTTTGTCCATGTAAACGTAGCTAATGACAGACAACAAATATTACATTTATAGTATTACAACTAAAACCGATTTTGACGCTGCCACCGCAGTTTGTCCTTCATGAGCCTTCGTAGACAAAATGGCGGTGCAAGATGGCGGCTGCCTGTGTGGCGACCCGCGACCATGGAGATATAAACARCTTTTTATAAGGTAAAAATAATAAAACAAGGTGTTTGTCTGCAATGATTAGACATGTTTTTTATTATTATCATTAGTGATTATCTCAATTTCGGCTAAAAGAATTGACAAAATCCTACACACTGTGCCTTTAAATACTAAATATTCTTCATCACTCAGGTTCCAACCTGTTTGTAATGAAGCTTATAAAGAGTTGACTTGTTTTATGTAAAGTTGTATTTAACAGAAAAGCTTCTATAAAAGAACATTTTAAACAGCAAACTTCAGTGTTTATGTTCAGTGTTTGTTCTACTGAACGGAACTCATGAATAGGCCTGGGTGATAAACTGAAAATTAACCGATACTGACATGTCAATAACCRATGTCATTTTGCTCGTGTCGGTATTTTCGGTATTTAAAAATAAAAAGAGGAAAAGAGAAACCTGCTCGTTTTCTGTTGCGGTCTCAAGCCGCCCAGTCTGATACAGGCAGTTCAACAAATCAAACAAACCCCACAGCTTAGTTTATCCTATCAGAGCAGAGAAGGGCGGGTCTTTCTAATGTCTGTGAAGCTGCAGGATAAACACCAATCAGCCTTCAGCTCCTGTCCTGAGCGAGCAAACCCCGTTCTCCACACTTCTCTCCGGAGCTACCCAAGACATTGGTATCTAAAATCGAACACACTATAAGTTTATGTGTTCAGAGCGTTGTTATCGAACAGATATGTCTAACTTTGCTCGCGCGACCAAACTCCTCTCCTCAGCGCCAGTGGCGTAGCCAGAAATTGATTTTAGGTCGGGCCTTAGAAAAAATGGGTGGGACAGATCAGGGGTGCCTGATTTTACCTGAGGGTAAGCACAAAACCATCACTGCACCTGACCCACAAAAATACACACCACATGGGCGTAATGTGTGTAGCACACAAAAATACCAACGTGACACCAGGCACCTAAAAACCAGGTCCTAACCAACACAAGGCCACATGAGTGCCATGCCCATCACATGGCACTGAAAAACTGCACTTCTGTCCCTCAAAGCCCAATGCACCCAACGCTGCGCGCGCGTGCACACACTATTGCGCTTTCAACTTGATCACCTTACAAAAAGTCGAAAGAAAGAAAATAATAAAAATATGACATGTTATGCAGTGGATGTAGCTTGCAACATTAATGCCTCGGATTGCCTCTTCTGTCTCTGCCTGAGGAGGAGAAGAGAGAGGAAGGCAGCTGTCATTCAGAACGAGCTGCCGTTAATGTAAAACAATTAGCCTATAAAAATGTATAAAAACCAACGTTGTGTAAATATACGCACATTTTTCACCTGCCGTGAGAATGTGCGGCAGCCACGCAAAGTTTTTCAGTCGACGGTTTTAACTCACAAAGTCACAAATCGGACTTGATCCACAGAAATATGACTTTGTTGTGTTTTCTGGATGTAAGGAGCGTCTGAACACGGTGTCAGATTTTTATTTTAGTTTGAGTTTTTATTGTTTAAACTCAAACGATCATGAAACTGAACCCCGGGACTGAAAATCATTTAACCTCAGACAAACAAGGAAATAGATCAGCCTAAAAATGATCAAAGAACCTCAGTCCAGTCTGTAAACTGTTTTTATAGTTTTTGTCACATAGTTGAAAACCTTTTGGGTCCTGGGATGGAAAAACCCGACACATTACGTGCGACATAAAAAATAATAAAATAAAAAAGGCTGAAGAGAGGGAGCAAAATCAAATGCAAATGGTGGCTCACTGTACGGTAAGAATAATTATTTTTTCTGTTTATTGTCTTCTGGCTGATGCTGAGCTGATCTGTGGCCGTAGCGCAGCAGCTGCGCTTTGGGTAGATTCTCGCGCCAGGCGTGCACCCTCACCAGCTGGGAAGGTGTTCCCTTTCAGTCAATTCACTCGGTACAACATCATGTATGGGAACCACGCCCCTGCGTGTCCTGGCTGAAGCCACCTCTAATCACGCCTTTAGGCAGGTGACGTGATGACGACAGATGTCAGGCTCCGCCTGCACATATAAATATTGTCGCATC